TCATCCATTGCGCTTTTTAAAATGTATATCACCAGCAATTATTTTAAGCTTCCTAATAAACTTAACAAATTGTCTGAAAATTCCTTATGAACGGTCAATTATCTACATTAGGTAACTGTGTGCCCAAACTCCCAAAATCTAATACTTGCTGTCAGAGTAGGATACTACAGGGTGCAAGGTTTAACTGGCTTTAAAATTGAGAAGCAGCAGCGCTGGATCGTATGTAAACATGTGTGGAGTAGTCCTAATGTGAAAGCAGAAGGTTCATTAGCATTAACACATGCTAGAGGATAGTTGATAGAGTTTCACTAAAGCTGGGGCAGCCAGAGCAAAAGATGTACTGAAGTGACGGAGGAATGTGACAGAAATTATGTATCTATTGTTGATAGACACTCTAAGGAGACAGTGAGGGAAAAACATACTTTACCTCATCCTTCGCAATCTACCCGCTGCAGATATATCTGTCCATGACAGCGTTGGTGGGAGTAACCACCACACAGTCCTTGCTGAGACAAAGTCCTATCTTCATGTCTACAATATCGTCCATAGTGTTGTGTGGCACTGCCACTGTGTTAAATAGGATAGATTTTAAATTGATCTAGCAACTCAAAACTGGGTGCCAATGAGACACTGTGGGCCATCAACAGCAGCAGAATTGTCCTCAAATACAATCTGCAGCCTCGTGGCCCTGCATATCCCCCTCTCAACCATTACCATCAAACCAGGAGACCAACTCCTGATACAATGGAGAGTACAGGAGGGCATGCAAGGAGCAGCACCAGACAAACCTAAAAATGAAGTATCAACCTGGTGATGCTACACAACAGGAATAGTGTTCCAAACGCCCTCTCCCTGTCTGCACTTCCTGATACAGTTTTTCTGGAGCTGATGGACTTTTATGTTATGTGTACCTGTCCCGATGCCACATTTTGTGTTGATCTTGCTTCACATGTCTTTGTTGAGAAGTTATGTGGTATATAGATTCTCCTAGTCATCATGAAAGGTCAGTGAGCTGTTGGTTGTCTGAGCTGCTGAGTGTTAAACTCCTTTTGTGTTTGAACTGTGAACCCTGGCAGATGGGCAGAATGTAGCTGCACTATAGCACATTGTACAACATGAGTGTACATAATAAGGTGACAGCCATTGATTGTACATTAGGCATGTACTAGTGATTTCTAGTGTGTGTGGTATAGTACTGCACAGTGGCAAGTTAACTGTGCCACGTCAAACTGAGAGGGGCATGTAGCTTTTTATAGAAATATACAAATTGGGAGTAGAAATAGGCTGGTGGGCCTGTTCTGCCACTCAATAAATTCGTGGTTGATCTACCTGCGTCATTGTTGGGCAGCACATGTTAAAACCTAAAACAAAAACAGAAATTGCTGGAGAAGCTCAGCAGGTCTGGCAGCATCTGTAGACAGAAATCAGAGTTAACTCTTCTGAGGGAAGGTCACTGGAGGGAAAGGCTATGAGATTCTGGATTATTCTTCACATCTCCTGCCATGTACAGCATGATACACTGGTGGTCAATCTCACCACTAAACTTATTGCTAAACTAATTCAAAAGTAGTGGAGTTTAGGTCTGCCTGAATTTTGTTTCTTTTCTGATGGTTCGGTTTCCTTCTTTGATCTCTACAGGGCTCAACTACCACTCTCCCTTCATCCAGACACCTCTTTTTGTGCCTTGGAGATAGTAGGAACTGCAGATGCTGGAGAATCTGAGATAACAAGGTGTAGAGCTGGATGAACACAGCAGGCCAAGCAGCATCAGAGGAACAGGAAGGCTTTTTGTGCCTTTATCCTTTTCAGACATATCTTTTTGTGCCTTTATCCTTTACAGACATATCTTTTTGTGCCTTTATCCTTTACAGACATATCTTTTCGCGTTTAAACAAAAAACGAAGGAACTGCGGAATGTGAAAATCAGAAACAAAAACAGAAACTTCTGGAAAATCTCAGCAGTCTGGCAGCATCTGTGTAGAGTAGTCACAGTTAAGGTTTCGGGTTCAGCAACCGTTCCTTTTGTATCTTTATCCATTCCGTTTAGCTACGATCCACTGGATCCGTCTGCGAGGATCCCCGCACCCGTTCTTCCCTCCAGTCGGTGGCGCTGTGTGCGGCGGGCCTACTCTTAGTCTTCCCCCCGCCAGTCGATGGCGCTGTCTGAAGCGGACCCACACCTATTCTTCCTCCCCAGTCGATGGCGCTGTCTGTGGCGGACCCACTCCTGTTCTCCCCCCGCC